GTAAGGTTGCCTCAGAGCGTCGTCGATCGTGAATTGCCGTCGACGGTGGCGATAGTGGTTTTCTTATGGAGAGAAGGAAGAGCATAGAGAGAGAAAGGAAAGACGGTAGAGAGAGAAAAGGTAAAATCACGGTTTGAAAATTGAATTGGTTGGAATATTAATAATTTAAGTTATTAAATCAAAACCTGATTTTTGCATAATGAAACTTCAGCCCTGATTTTTAAATTGGGATGTTTAAACCCCTGATTTTGTGTAATTTTCCCAAATTGCTTTGGCAACATAATAAAAACTTATGCTTATTGGTTATTAAGGCCCGCCTCATTAATTTTAAAAAATGTATTATGAAATAGTAATTGATGGAGAATGTGTGGTTAAAAAGAATGAAAGTTTTAATTTACGTGTAATATTTTTTTATTAAGAACGTGGAGTTAACAATGAGTACTATAAAAAAACTAATGAGAAATAATGTAAAGTAAAGAATGACAAACATGGGCTAGATTTATTTTTTATTTATAATTATATCCATTCAAAGAACAATTTAAGCCTCTGTTTCTTAAGAATTAAAATTTAATTTTTTATTAAAATCAAAATCAATAATTAATTTTAATCAAATATTTTATGGGATCTACAAATTTTTAACTACATATTTCTTCAATTTTTATCAAAACTTTTCTCGATTCCTTTTTTTCTTGAAGAAATGTGTTTTAAAATGATGATTTTTTTGGAAATGTGTAATTAAAAAAATTATGTTTACATGTAAAATTGTTTTATGAGAAAATATGTGATTAAAAATGAGTTTTAATAAAACATGGGCTGAATAAGTTATAACATGTCTCTTTTCTAAGTTTTCTTAATTTTGTCTACTCGTATACAAACCAAATTTCAAACACTCAATAGCGTTACAATAATTGGATTACTTTTAATTCTTGATCAACAAACGTGCTAGAAATACAAAAATGACCCGTAATTGATTGGATATTTTAATAATATTTTTTCTACATTTTCTCTCTCCGTATATCAGGGCATTATTTTGTCTAAGTCATATATTGTTCCAAATAAATACAAGGTCCATTTGATTATAAAGGTGGAATAGAACAAATTCCATGTAAGTTAGAAAAGAAAAAAACCTTTAAAACCGTTGGAATGCATTTTCTACAATTTTGGCAAAAAACATACTTTAAGCGTTTGTACATTAGAATTCGAACTCCATTTCCACTTTCACATCAAACAACTAAAATAAAAAAACGAATTCATCGAATGTGACATTTTTCATGGAGTTCACTCCAAGCAAACGGAGCCTAATAGTTTTTCGTCCCTAACTCTCTGGTGACCCAAGCACACGTGCAACGGTGCTTGGGAATAGTCACCATTCCTCATTTGGTCAGTTCAATAAACATATACCTCCGTTTACCTCCACAACTTTGACTAAGGAAATTTATGCTTTCGTCGACCGTGCAAGTTGTAGGGTTTAAAAAATCTCAATTTTTTTTATAATGCGTTCATTCGATTTCATAGATCTTTTATTCAAATTTGTTGCTTGTACAAAATTTTTCTGCCAAAATTTCATTAGAAGACACTTGGCAGATTTTTGTTGGACATGGGAAAAAAAAAAGGACCAACCAGATGTTGCAGCAACACTTGGATAAATTCTGACAGACCGCTTCTGTACAAGTAGATTTATTCACTTTTATTTAAGGTATTGATTGGAACAGTGTTAGTGATCGAGGCGTTAGGTGTTGCATGCATGTGAGGGTACTTTGTTGTTCGTTTGTTCTTATTATTTGCTTATTTTTATTTTTTCTAGTGGAAACCAAGATATTAACATTTTGTGATTTGTGTCGTGGTTGTTAGTGTTTCAATTGGTGGGTTATTGGTAAATAATGCTGTTTTCAATTTTTTAAACTCAACCTTTAATTTATTTTTGGTCTATTTTTGTGAAGTGCCCCTGAGCTCCATCTGGAAGTTTCATTGTGTTTATATATTTTTATTCTTTACAAATATTGATATATACACAAGAAATTCAATGCCGTCTATTTAAAAATGTATTTTTTACACGATTAAATTACTAATAAATCCATTCTAAAAAAAAAATGTGATTTCATCTTTCATTTTTTAATCACATTCTTCATAAAATAGTATTACGTGTAAATCAAAATTTTTTGTCCTTTTTTAACAACACATTCTTCAAAAAATTACTATTTCAAAATACATTTTCTCCAAATACATTTTTAATGGAGTTCATACACATACACCTAAACATGTCTTCTAAGGTAATATGGTGCAACCCGATTACCGTTGAAGAACAACTCCCTTGTTTAGAACTTGCTCTGTTTGAACCCTCCTTTTTTTTCTTTTTTTTTTGGAATAGTAATTTTTAAAAGAATGTGTTGTTAAAAAGTATGAAATTTTTTGAATTTTACGTGTAAAATTATTTTATTTTAAAAATATACAATTAAAAATAAGTTTAAAAAAAATATGGTTCAAACAGGGTCACTGTTCACTGATAAACAATTATCAAGCATCAATTAACAATCCTTGCAGTCATAGTCATAGGAAATCAGGTAGAAAAATGCAGCCCAATATCATTTCAATAGACACTACAATTGAAAGAAGCATTCGATATCGAATCTGATAAAGCAACATCGACAACGAAGCCAATTCCAACACCAACAAACACACAAAATATGAGGGAAAACCTTCATAGTATCATAACATAAAATTTACTTTGAAATTAACAAAATAAAATAAAATAAAAATTCAAATATATAGAATCACGGTCACCTTGTTTTAAATACGTTTTTAAGAGATTCAATGTTTGATGCTTACAAGAGTCCCCATTTTACATACCTGTCCAAGTCTTCGGTTATCATCCAAACTTTAATTTTCGATTGAATGTAGTTGACTTGTTCTTAAATTTTGTCTAAATTGATAGACTTATTTTGATTCAAGGGAGCTCAATCTTTGATTGGAACTATATTGTGCTCGAATGTAACAATTTGTAGGAAGAATTTTCGAATCAGAACTCCCCACAAGCTACACACATACATAGAGTGGGTGGATATTTGTGGGGGGTTTTTTCTAATAAGAGAGGACTCACCTCATGTTTGAAACCTTGTGAAATGGAGCCTATACGTTAGGCTTAATTCAAAATCAGAAGTTACCCAATAAAGTAAAAAGTTGAGAAGTGGCATGCTCAAAGCAAGAACCAACCATTCGTGCTTTAACTCTCGACCATTTTTTTCTTTTTTTTGGGGATCAATTTACTGACCCTTATTTAAGAGATTGGTAAAAATAAGTAACATTAGCAATTGCGTGGACTCTATTTTAATTTTAATTTTATCTTCCATCTGTTTAACTTTACATTTTTTAATAAAATAATATTACCAATAAATCCAAATTTTTATAAAAAAATCACTATTCAAAAAATTTTTTTTTTCTCAAAAACAAGTTAAAATGAAGCCAAAACAAGAGCTATATTTTCCTTCTAGACTTTGGAGGCAGATGCTGGATGGGGTGACCTCCAACCCGTACTTATCTTATTGCCATCGCCAAGGGAATCGCGAGAATTCAAAGTAAATTTTACTTTAAAAGTAAAAATATAAAAGAAGATTGCCCACGGTGAAATGTAATTCCATTTTCGGTGAAAATCATGATTAGATTTTTTTATTGACTTTCTAACTTTCAAAAATGAGAGTTATTTTCGTAATTTTTTAAATTCGTTAATTCGTGTTCTCACGTGTAAACGAAAATAATGTAAGGGCATGTTTGACCTTCTATGAGGAAATATATTTTGTAATATCGAATTTTTTTGAAGAATATATGGTTAAAAAATAGAATTTATTTATTCATATATATAAAATTATTTTTTTAGAAAAATGTGTGATTAAACATGTGTAAAAAAAAAAAAAAATATTTAGCGTATGAGGACTAAACATGGCTAACCCTCCGTTTGAGCCCCAACTTTAGTGGGAAACTGTATTTTGGAATATTAAATTTTTGAAGAATATGAGGTTTGGAATTTATATGTAAAATTATTTTACAGAAATATATGTGATTGAAAATGTATTTTACAAAAATGAGTGTTTGGAATAATGAAGGCCAAATATGGCCAAGTATTCATAAACATTACAAATGAATAATACTATGAAGTAGACTATATATACAGAAGGGGGAATCACAGAACCCTTCAGATAACACATAGTAGGGGGTGGTTTTTTTTTTTTTTTTTTGTTGCAATAAAATATTAACACGAGCCGACTCCCATGTGAGAGTTCCGCAAGCCTTCTATGAAGGCTGTTTTTGTACACAGGAAATTAATGTAACACCATGGGGGCGTTTGTTTTCCATTTTTGTAAAAATGAGAATGAAAAATATAGTCGTTATGGCTCTATACAAGAGATATAAATTTAAATTTGGTGACTTGATATAATGGATAACAATCATATTTTTTATTTGAACGGGGAAAGAATGAGAAACAAATAGAGACTATTAGCACCATATTTTAGCCCTTGTTTGAGCCCCATTTTAGAGGAGAAAATGAATTTTTTAATAGTGTATTGATGAGAAATGTGTGGTTAAAAAATAAGAAAAAGTTTTTGATTTGCGTATAATATTATTTTATTGAAGAATGTGTGATTGAAATGATATCAAATCATTGTTAAAAAATATATTTTGGTGAAAAAATGGGGCTCAAACAAGGGATAAATTGCTACAGGTGAATCATTCATCTTTGTATTCAAATAAATTAATATTTAATTTGGTGTAATTGCTTAGCCCTTGTTTGATTTTCATTATATTACATTACATTCTATTTTTCTCTCTCCTATTTTCAACCACACAATCTTCCATAAAATAATATTACACGTAAATCGAAAATTTTTCTTTTTTTTTCAACCACTCATTTTTCAAAAAACATTATTCTATATATTAAATTTTCCCCGTAATGGGGGCCAAACAGGGCTTAAATTTTTCATGCCCTTTTACTTTTTCTTATTTTGAAAAGAGATAATCATTTGAGAAATTTGGCGCGTCTTCCTCTCTCCCGCCGCGGCCGTCCGCAATCCCCACTATTTCCGCCACCAGGATCCACTGCACCAGACTGAAAGATCACACATAGACACGCAACAAAGTTGCAGAAATCGTGTACGATGAAAATGCTTTCCCGTAAACGCCCTTCCAAATCCAATAACGCCTTCGTTCCCCCCTTCGCTCAACCCAACAAACTCCCCAAACCCGCCACCGTCACTTGCCACCACCAAACCCAGAACGACACCAGTTCATCAGCTACACCAAGAGAAGCTGAATCCGTAAGCCCATTAGACAAAATGCTATCGGTGCTAGCAGACGCCGGGTGCACACTGATCAATCCCTCGGGGCCACCGTGCATCCCCTCCGATCTCCACAAGCTCCGAAATCACCTGAACGGATTGTTTTCTAGAGATTCTTCCCTCCGCGAAGAATTTCTCAGAGGATTCGCTTCTTATATTGCTTCCCCCAATAATTTCCGCCGGTGAGTGCCAATGTTTTTGCAAGGTACAATTTCTTCTTGTCCAGCATAAGGTGCGGTACAGAAAAATACTTACGGTCTAGAGACATTTTATTTCCGTATACTGTATATGAATTGAAATTTTTTTGATGGTCATGCCAAAGCTCCTTCCGTTGTATAAGTACAAAAAGCTGAAGTCTCGGGCAGGAGAATGTTTTATCAATGTAATTTTCGCTTGAGGCCGTCGCAACTCAACTATGTCCGTGACGAAAATGCTTTTGGACATTTTCTTCGTCTTGCATCTGAGTTCCTTTTTTTTTCTTCTTTTATTTATCTGCGAAGACAAAATTATAAACATATGTATTTCTCTTGACAAGTAGATGTCTTTTCATGCTCTTAGTATTCAAAGTTTTCTCAGCCTGTGTTTTTCAGTAACAGTGAAAAATGTTGTGAAATTTTATACCAAAAGGGACATACTTTATCACAGCCAGTTAAACCTTAGAGAATATTGGAAATGAATGAGAGTGTGAAGGAACCTCGGGGAAAACAAGTGCCAATTAAGAGGAGGAGAAGACTAAAAGTAAGAAAGTTCAAAACTGTTATAGATTAAAAGAAGACTGAAATAAATTTAAAAAAATAAAATAAAAAATTCTCATCTTCCTCTACATTTCCTCTCTGTTTTCTACTTTCTACTTCACCAACAAATGCCAGACTTCATTTTCTTCTTGTTTTTAGCGTTTGCTTGGCAAATCTTTTTTAGCACATTAACTTCTCAGCATATTCAGCAGTTTCATCAATTGTTTAAAGAGATAGAAATTAAAACTATTATTTAATTTTACTACTAACTAACTTGCTTCAGTCTGAATTGTTTATAAATATAGGGTCTTGCTACCTTCCTCTCGTGAAGGTTTGGGCTCAGTAAGAAGCGAGAGCCTGGTTCGAGTCCTTTTACTGGTTCACTCCGTCCAGCTAGACCTTCTATACATGTTGCTTGAGAAACTTCCAGAGTACTTTGACTTGTACCCTAGAGATGGTGTTTGTGAGCCTTCGTCATCATGTCTGAATGAGGATGTAGCAAGGCTGATATTGAACCAATTCCAATGGCTTGACTTCCTGGTAGATTCTGAGGCATTTGCTGAAAAACTATTGCAAGCCTTATCGATTTGTCCCCTTCCTTTGAAGAAAGAGATTATAGGGTCACTGCCCGAGATCATTGGTGACCAGAACAATAAGACCGTGATCAGTTCACTTCAGCAGATGCTCCAAGAGGACTCTTCTATAATAGTTAATGTGCTTGATTCATTCTCCAACCTCAACTTGGACAATCTTTTGCAAGACCAGGTAGCTATTTTATTAGTAGTATTTTTCAAATTATGACAAACCTGAGTTATCAAAATTGTATAAATTAAAATTAGTTCTTCAAAATCAAGGAATTCCTTTTTTTCTTAAGCTTGAAATAAAAGATCCTTTTGAAAAATGAGGAATAGTTCATTCTTAATTAAGGGATAAAAGACTTTTGAGTTTTAAAATGAATCAACAGAAAAACTGGTTAAAAGGGCGATATCAATACATTGCATCTCAGATAAAAAGTGGTCTAGATTAATACCGCAACAATGGCAAAATAGAGTATAATATAAATACTACTGTTGCTTTAGCTTTACTTACCTCAGTGGCATATTTCTACTCTGGTCTTACCAAAAAAAGATTAAGAATGAGCGGGAATCGTCGAGGTATTTGTGTAAATAGGTATAATTTGTGGAATCACAGAAACTATCAAAATCAAAGAAGTAACAATAATAACCATAAGTTATTTTACACGTGTAGTTGTATGGAAATATATGGTTAGTATGCATTTCTTTTTTTATTTTAGTTTTGCTGCCTCCTGGTAATCAAATTTGTTCTGTTCTTCTCTTTTACTTTTGAAGGTGATTACAATAGCGTTATCTTGCATTCGAACAACTGATGTGGAGCACATGCCATACTTACTGAGATTCTTGCTGCTTTCTGTGGAACCGTCAAATTCTAGGCGAATAATTTCACAGATAAGGGAACAGCTAAAATTTGTTGGAGCATGTCATCGGCGAACAACTCAACATGCTAAACTGAAAGGAAAATCTGTTGTAAATAATACGGAAGCTTCAATTCTAGATGCTCTGAGATCTAGTCTTCGATTTAAAAATGTGGGTTTGACTTTTCATGTGTATATTTGTTGTTTTATTCACGTCGTTTTTATATTTTCTTTGGAATGCATTCCTTAGAAATAATACCATTTATAGATCCTGTGTCAGGAGATAATTAAAGAACTGACAAGCCTTGAGGAAGCTCAGGATCACAAGGTTATTGATTTGTGGTTGCTTACACTTGTGTACATGAACAACGAATCTTTGCAAAAGAATGTTGAAAAGTTATTGAAGAAGAAAATAGTTGAAGGTTGTATACAAGAAGATATGTTTGAGCAATACATCAACGGTATTAAGGACTTGTCAAATGTATGGTGGTTACCAGATTTTACTTTGCATTATCAACAATATTATTCGTCACGAGGCTTATTCTGAGTTTAATTTTACTATGAATAGGATTATCTTCCCACGTTCCTATCAATATCTGCATACCTATTGGCTTGTAAAGAGCAACGAGCACAGGAATTCGGCATTCACATGTATATGTGTCTATTTGAAGGGTTTGTTGATGCTTACTCAAGACAGGAAGTAAGTTGTTTTGTCAACTAGTTCATTGGCTATTCATTGTTAATTTAAGTAAAGGGTAGGAGTTCACTTCATGCTCAGAGTCCTAAACAACACAATTTTCTGAAGGTTGTAGGAGCATTAATAGCTCATCTCGGTTCTGGAATCAATTGTGAAGTGAGTGCTGCTTTGGAGACCATGGTTAAGCTGGCCTCCAAGAATTCGAAGGATTTGATTCCATTCCATTCTCATATAAATGGTACTCTACCTTTTTTTCACTATGAACTTATTTTCTTCTAACCAAAGTAGTATCTTAATTCTCTGCTTGTTTACCTATTTTACAGGTATCTTGGATTACTTGGAGGGCTTTAATTTTGAAAGCCTTCACAAGGTCACAAATATCTTGATTTTTCTTTTTTCTGCAATTTCTAATAACGTGACTCCGCAGCTTTTCTCGTGATATGTTCTTTTTTTTAAAACATTTCATGTTGCAGGTGTATGAAGTTTTCACCCTCCTTGCACTTTCAACTCGATCTAGCTCCCAGCCTCATGAGTGTTCTATTGCAAATGAACTTCTAATGATTTTGAGAAAACAGGTAAATTTGAAAAATTATTGTACATTAACTTCTCTGTATAACTTTCAACATTTAAAGCCATAAAGACACCATCCTTCTTTATTTGCTGGTCTTGCTTTAGTTATTTATTTATTTATTTATTTTTTTCCGTTGCATAACTGTCTCTATTCATGTCAAGCTGCTGGCTTCAAATTGTGCAGATAAATAATCCTGATCCGATGTATAAGAAGATGGGCCTAATTGGAACTCTTAAGATAGTTTCCTATCTTGCAGATGCCAATAACACTTCCCTTCCATCTTTATCACAGGTAAATGTTGTAAACTCACTGTTCAGAGCATTTACGTTTTTCTTTTTCGGATCCCGTGATTTTCAATAATCATTTATGTTATTTAGTTTCCATTTTTGTTGAGGTGTGATGTTAAGTTAACGACAACAACAACAAAATCAACTGAATAAAATGTTAGTGCCGGATGGCAGATGATATGTCTCCTTGTTCTTAGGTGATTACTTTGTGATCACCGAGAAGATAGTACAATGAGCTAACTAAGCCCTTGTTTGGGCTTCGTTTTAATGAGGTTTTGGGAAAAGGAATAGTAATTTTTTTGGAGAATGAGTGGTTAAAAAAGAAAGAAACGTTTTGGGTTTATGTATAATAGTATTTTTTTTTTTTTGAACTTGAAGAACGTGTGGTTGAAAAGAAGAAAGAGAAACATGTATAAAAATTAAGATGACGCCCAAATAGGGGCTTTGTTTCAGCCTGCATGACACGTAACCAATACAACCATAGGTAAGACATGCTTTATATATGTTTATCACCTATATTATTATGTTTCTTCCTGGTTGATAATTTCCTGTGTTATCCATTTTAAAAGTTCTTGAACTCAAGGTGGATAACTGAAACGGCTGAGGATGTAGGACTTCCTTATTGTATGTACACGTGTGTAGAACTTATATGGATTGTCTTCTGTACTTAGAAAATTAATGATCTCAATACTGTTGATGGGAATGGAGTAATATTAACTTCATAGTGTCTGGTAAATGCAAACTTTGAATTTAGCCAGAATAACTACAGGCAGTTAAATACCTTCAAATTCTCAACCCTGGTATCAAATTGAGGGCGCCAACCGCCAAATATTAAGAAATGTGAGATTAATTGAATCTTAATGGAGTTGGAATGAAGTGGAGTCAGGAATCTCATTTTTTCCCAAAGCTATTGACTTTTTCTAACTACGTGCGCATGTCCAACCATCTTTTTCTTCTTCACTATCGCTCCTTCCCCCGTTCTGCCTCCTCCTTTCTCGTTCCATTCTATTTGTTCGTATTGCCAATTTATAGGCCAAAAGTTCTTATAATTTTTCTTATCATGATTCGTGAGCATTCGTTTTTCCTTTTTTTGTTTCTAGATTCGCACTATGAAGTTTAAAAGAGGAGTAGGATAGATTTCTTCTTTGTTTTTTCCCTTTTCAATTTAAAAAATGTTATTTAGCTTTTGTTTGAGCACCATTTTTTGGGGAAAATAGATTTTGTAATAGTGATTTTTTGTTTGGAGAATTTGTGGTTAAAATGTGGGGAAAAAATTTAGGTTTAAATGCAAAATTATATTATTGGGAGAATGTGTGGTTGAAAATGAGTTTGAAAAAAAATGAATTTTAAGATGATGGGGCTCAAACAGGGGCCTAAGGTGTTTGGATAATTATTGCTAGAATTTAAGGCTTCTTCATATTTGTCACATGTGAAACTGATTGTTCCTGCCAAATAAAGAACCTTGTATTTGCATCCCGTTTTCAGATTCAGACCAAACCCAGAATTGTGAAAGATATTGTTGATGGCTGGTTTGAGAGTGTTTTCATAAAAATTTTCAGATCATTTGGTAACAATATTTTAGTTTTTTATGACTTTTCTTTTCACAATTTGGAAATCGTAAATTATGCTTGGATGAGAATCATGAGATGATCCAATAGCAGATTCTAGTACCCTCTTGATCCCTTATGCCACGGGAAAGAATATATGCTCTAAAAATGCAATGCAATAGAGATTATGTGATCTAGTTCAGCAGCATCTGATATAGGAGAGAAACTTGAAAATCATAAACCATATTAATGTAGAAGGATACTTACCGCAGTGTAGGATAAGTATTAATTTCAACACTTAAATGGTCGTGATGAGCAAGCACCAAGAGTTTGTCCAGATGAAAAGAATTAAGAAATCCTATTTGTGCTTTTATTCAGTTGTCTATGGAGAAATTTATAGTTGAAGATGTGATTTGCTATATTCTTAATTGATTACCTACTGAACGGTGTTATTTGTAAGAGAGATGGGGCAACGATTGATCATTTGTTCATCCATTATGATGGTGTTCGGTGGTTGTGGAATGGTATTCTAGCTTCCCAACATTTGGATTGGGTGTTGTCTAAGCGCATAGAAGAAGTGTTGCAGGCATGGAGGAAAAAATTTCGAGATAAGAATAGTAGGCTTGTGTGGAATCGAATTCCGGGATGCATTGTATGGCGTGTATAGAGAGAAAGTAACAATTGTTGTTTCGAAGACCAAACAAGAGTAACAGAGCAGATTAGAGAATTGTTTTACATGACTTTGTATACTTGATTTAATGTAGCGGTCACTAATCATATAGAAGACTGCCAAATTTCATGTCGTTTCTTTCTTATTTAAATTGATAATACACTTCCCATGTATTATCCATTGATTAATAAAATTACTTGATTACTTATCAGAAAAAAAAATTGATTACCTCATGCTCTCTAGTGATTATCTGGCATATGGTTCTTCACTGCTCAATCTTCTTTGTAGAAGTCAAATTCTGAAGAAGCTATGGAGCTCTTGAAATTATCTTTGGACTCTAGCAAACAGTTGCCTTTATCACTGATCCTGTTTTATGAAGAACTGGTTTCTACACTGAAAAGCAGAAGTCTTCATCCAAATATAATGGAATGGTGAGTCACAAATAAAGACTAAATTATTTTGAAACAAGACTAAGTACTGTTTTGTCTTCTAGGGTCAGCAAACATGTAGGAGATTTCGAATCAATATATTTATTTGATCTTGATGCTGGATGTTTACCTGTTCAAGACCTCTATGGTGGTTTAGAGGGTAAAATATTTCACAAACGTTTCTGCCCTCTGACTTCCTCAAATTAGTTTTATAAAGTTAGAAATTTAATTTAAGATACTTGAAACTTCTATTGTACTTGATGCAGGTGAACTATGGATGAACCTTGATGGGAATATGTCACCTATATGCTTAAACATTTTGCCACTTGTCTTCACTTCTTTTAGGTACCCCTTTGCGGTTTATACGTGTCTTTTGGCTTATTGCCTTTCCAAAGCTTTCCTTTTGAGATCATTTTGGAAACAAAAAAGAGCACCAATGAATGGTTAAATAGGAATGTCCACGTATCTCTCCGTTTGTGTTTCTTAAAAGTTTATATCCTATCATGAAGAACGTTCTCTTATTCATAATATTTCTTTTGCTCAGCAAGAAGGTTCCTTAAATCCAGACATCAAACATTATCTCATAGGATGGATTTTACTTATCCCTCTATCTCTCTTCTTCTTCTTCTTCCTTTTTTTTTGGGTCAATATGTTGTCTTACTGCTGATGTATGTAACCGCCATTTCCTGCAGATCCGCTTCACCATTACAAGTTCTTCCAGCAAACTTTGTTCTACTTTCTGTAGTAAGTGCATCGTTTCCTGAAAAATAGATCATTGATGGGAGCAAATCTTATGTGTTTGATCCAATTTTTGCCAGGTCGAGAGATTGGCCAATCAAGGATCTCTTGGCGGAATTGATGCACTTCTTGGTTGTCCTTTGCATCTTCCTTCCTCTAAGGTTGGAAAACATCCAATGCTAATTGATTTTTCTTAAATTGAACGAACGTGGTTTCATTTTTTGATTTAATTTGAATCTTCATGTACTTAGGCTACTCTATGTTCTGCTTTCTCCTTTGGCTTTACTGTTTACGAGTTTTAAACCATGGGGAATATTACTATGCCATTACTATTGCAGACTGTGCAGTCTATGTACTGATTCTTTCCCCCCATTTTAACTCTATTAAAGCTGTCTTATAGTTTGAAGATAATAATGGGACCAGTTAGTCCCAGAGCATCTAAATTTGGTGACTCATTCTAAGGAATTCCTGATCCTCCAGGTTTACGTTACACTAGCGTCTTCCGTGTACTGGGCAGTAAAGTCCTATGTCTAGAGCCATGTAGTAACAGAGTGCTCACAAATTTATGAACTTCAATGAGGGCCATAAAATGCTGTTAGAACTCGTTGAAATTACTTTGAAGAGACTCGAAGTCTACTAGAACTGATGCAGCCGGAAGGACTATGGGCTCAACTAGTTTGTTTAATTTTACTGTCTAATTTTTATTATTTTATGCACTTTAACTAGGTGATTCATTAAAGTTAATTACGAAATGAGGACTTAGGGTACAATTTACTTGGATTAGCAAATAGGGTTTGGCTTAAAACATCAGCCGCAACCTTATTCTTGGTTTGGCGTATTTTTATTGAAACTTAACGAAGTTTAGAGTTTTTTTTTTCCAATTTTTCAATTTAAATTGATATTCCTGTGTGAACTGACGATTCGTCGATCAAATAAATCATTCAATATTCCACGGCGAATTAATGAATATTTGATTCCTAAATTTTTGGTATTCTTTGTGAATCAACGTGTTTATAGGTCGTTCTTTGTATTCGTCATATTTTATCCATTCGCATTGTACACTAATACTAAATTGGATCGAAAATGGGAAAAACTGTCGATTTTATTAATTTTCAATCAAAAAACATCCAACCTAGAATAAGGCTGCAGGGCCAAACCCTATTTGCTAATTACAACTAAATTGCACCCTAAGTCCACATTGTCTAATTAACTTAAATAAACTACCCCTAAATAAACATAGATTAAAGTGCATAAAATAATTAAAATAAGATAGTTACATAACACAATTAAGCCCCTATTTGACAACCATTATTTTCGAACTCACTCATTTTCAACCACATATTCACATAATAAAATATTTTACACGTAAACCTAATACTTTTTGTTATTTTTTAACCACACATTCTCCTAAAAATCTTTTTTTAAAACTCTATTTTCCTCGAATAATGATTTTCAAACAGGGGCTAAATCAGTCAAGCCCATGGTCCTTATGGCTGCCTCAAGAACCCAATTATATGGAACAGGGATTGAAATTTTTGTTTTGTTCATTTGAATATTTGGCTGGCGTGTTATTCCTGCTTGCATAATAATCCTCTAATTCTTTATGAATTCATTCTCTTCTTATATGGAAAGTTTTAACACCATGCATCATTTCAGAGAACTATAATTTATTTCTTTACAGTTTATGATATGTGAGTCGTGTTCCTATGATTTGGTTTCTTGTGTTAAGTTGTTCATGTCTGCCACGCAAAGCAGTATTGACATAAGTGCTCTGTACACATGGAGTCTTTGAAGTTTCATCCGTTGTTGTGCTCCCTCGTCCCCCCTTCTGCCTCATTGTCTATTTTTATACGTATTAAAAAATGGTTCAAAATGGAAAGTTAAAAATGGTATCCTCAAAACCAAAGTTATTTGAAAACTGAATTTTGAAACATTTCAATTATTAACACTGATGAAAGAGAAAGTATGCATTTACAATACGTATACATATCATATTTGCTACATAATTGATTGCATTAGTATATTTGATTCAGATTGAGTTACTTTGGATGTACCTTAATAACTGTTGCATTCTATTTTGTGGATATCAGCTGTTCTTGGGTCCTTCCTGGCAGTTTTTGACAGGAAAGCAGAAACAGGTTGCCATTTTTTCACTCTATTATGCTGCTAACTGGATGAGGGAATTAGTAAGTTGGTGTCATTGGTTCACTTCGTTGAGAGTTGAAACAAAGTTTTACTTTATTTTACAGCAGCTTACACTTATTCCATTGTCACGTAGATCAATACCTTCTCCACTCAAATTGTTGAGGGATGTGGCTATACAAGCCAGGCAACAAAAGAAGAGATAATCATCAAGCTATTAAAGCGCTTGAGGAACCTTGTGTATGTTCTCACGAATCCATTTCGGCAGTTTCTATAAAATTTACCGCATCAGTTTTTATCACATGTATTGCCTTTAGAGTCTACAATTAATGCTTTAGGACGATCATTTGCACTATTTGGTGTACATTTCATATAACTTGGTATCATATCATTGTTCCTACTTCCTTGTGACTGCATCCTGCTACAACAATTTAAGTGTTGACACTCTACTTGTTATATCAACAAACACATTAGTTTGATTTGCAAGAATATTATATCTCGCTGTCAATTATATTATTATATGGTAAGCAAACTGGAAGGCGGCAAGTGGTATTTAAACTGAAAGACGGCAAGTGATATATACCTTTGACAACACACTGCTTAAATTTATTAAAAGTGTCCAGATTTGATATTTGACGACCCACATCAAGCTGCGGTTTATATGAAAATCGTATTTGCAATTATAAATTTCTTGCCTAGTCAGATTCATTTTAGTGGTGGTTGAGAAATAACTCATTTTCTTGTCTTGTATTGGTTTTGGATAGGGCTGTAAAACGAATGAAGCTTCTTGAGTGTAGTTCATTTTCTTGTCTTTTATTGGTTGTGATTTCTCGTAGTCATAAAGTGATATTACTGTAGGAAACCACCACATCCTTAGATATGAGGACTGCTACATGTTTCTTTTCTTCATCATGTAATAAATTATATTTCTGCTATAATTATTAAGTACACACTGGCAATGTAACACCAACTTAATTAATTATCAGAAATTTTTTGAAATATTTCTGCATCAACCATTTCTTTCAGTTATTAAGATGAAAAATCTTTTTTTGGTTTTAAGTTTGCATTTATAATTTAATTGATGCAAGACAGCCTTGCTCAGCGAAGTATTGTAGCTCTGACAACATGATAAAACAATGTCTAACAAGAGATTGGTGATGCAGATTTATTGAGAGTCTATTGAACAATATCCTCGAAAAACACACTGTAGTGCTACCGGAGCTCTACCCTCATCTGGAATGCTCACTAGTTAATGAAAATAATTATTTATGTGATTTGGAAAAGACAAGTCAGCGTCGTAAGGGGAGTGAACCAGTTTCCCAAAACAAAAAGAAAAACAAAAAGAAGGCCTCAGCTCATTCTGCAAATTCAGATACTGTGGAAAAATTCAAGCAACCAAAAATTGTTGATATCTGGAGGAAAGCGGGTGCTATTCCAAGCCAAGAAAATCTCAATAAGGATATGTCTGCCACGTCCTCGAAGGACAGACAATCTGACTCTGCAGAAAGTGAAAATAGCAACTTGAATATTGCACAAAACATAGAAGTTTCTGCTCCTGCCAAGTTTTTAGAGGCCCAAAGATACAAATTCAGGCCACTTTCAGTTGATTGCTTCTCCATATTGACATTTTCAGAGGTACACAAGCGTCTTATTCTACAATTGTTATGCATCCTTTTCAGCATTAGACTGCATTTTAATATTTGACGAAGGCTGAAGCCTCTCTCTTACGATATGAAACTCTGATGATAAATGTTGGACATTCTAGTCTCTCTATTAGAAAGTGGTCCCATGTTTCTTTTCTCTTTCTTTAGTAAATACTTAATAGACACAGTGTATTGCACAATTTCTATATTGATTTGCCTGTTCTTTAATTTATTTTCTCGAACAATATCTGCAGAGTAATCAATGGTATCAAGCACTGACTCTTGACGCCATGTTTGCTTTTGAACAAAAGGGCTATTAGTTCTTGTTAATTACATTTAAGCTCCATCTAGATGCAGTGATGCACCTTTGAAGGATAGGATTTTTACCATGTAAATTGTTCACCACTTTTCTCTTATATAATTCCTAGCGTACAATAACTCTTTAACTAAGCTTGGTAAATCAAATTCCACACAGCGACAAAAGAATAACGGTTCAGCACCTTTGTGTGGCCTAGTTAGAATATTTTTTTGGCCTTTAGCTTTGTACTCCTCCAAGCTTTTAAAATCTTAGTCCAATCAGGGATTCACAATAAAGCAGAGCTATCTCAATACCATCTTAAGTCTTTAGACGTTTGAAACACCTCCACGACCAAACTAAGGATGTCCATAATCTTTTCAAATATGGAGCTTTATCGCTAAATACGACGAACAAGAATGAGACTTGACAAGAAAGGGAGAGAAAGAGAGAACAAAGGGGAGACAATCGAGAGTAACTAGCGGAGAAATATAAGTTTATTCAATAATCAAGTCTGACTATACAATGCATAAGCTCTATTTATATCGGGTTTTTAACTAATCTAATTTAAGTAGAAAAAAATTAATAAAATACTAAAATTTCTATAAATAAAACCCTAATTACATTTTCTAAAAACAAATATCTAACTTGAAAAGTTATTCATAATAGGATTTCCATCATTTCTACCTGAGTGAGAGAACTCTATTGCAATGTGGTAGACTACAACTTCTTATCCAAGGAGGATGATCCTCCTCAATCAAATAATGATACTGACCATGTGATGACAATCAAATGAGCAAATAATCTGCTGTAATGTCATTCGATGAAAGGGACATCCTTTCCCTTCAACCAAGTATCAACAATGAGCTCATGATAGCAACAAGCTATGTAACTCGTCCAGTGTCAACTGAATCCACATGAATAGTACAAAAGACTAGTGTAGATTGCCTATAGAAATAAATGATTACAGCGTATCACTAGTTAAGAGTAATTAGCCAAAGTAATTCTAAAGAGTCGTTCAGAGTTTTAGAACTAAACTTATAGCCCCCGTTTGGCCCCCATCCTTTTCAAATTTTAATGGTTGGAATAGTATTTTTTTGAAAAATGTGGTTGAAAAAGAATAAAAAGTTTTTGATTTGCGTGTAATATTATTTTATGAAAGATTGTGTGGTTGAAAATAAGAGAGAAAAAATGAAAAGAGAATGGGGGTCAAACGGGGGCATAATCAATTCAAATGTTTTGAAACGTCTGAAGTGCAATATTGACATACAGAATGAGCTTTGACATCGAGGGTGGAACATAGAATGGATGTCCAAAATAATATTGAACATTTGTCCAGGGAGAGGTTGATGGAGATCCTATTACATATATTATAGAAGACTCTTCAATTAGACACTTATTTTCTAATATTTTATTAAGTTATTAATTACTTAAATTAGATTGGTTTAAACCATATATATATGAACTTTATGCATTGTGATAGTTAGACTCTTGATAAATTGAATAAACAATACTTTCTCCAATTCCTTATCTTGGCTTCTTCCCTTTCTATCTCTTTCTCCTTTCTTACCCCTTCTTCTGCAAGTCTTGTTCTTCCTGTAATCGTGTTCTGCATCAACTTGGTAACAGAACAAGTCGTATTTCTTTGGATAAACAAATTTCATTGGGTTTTGATAGGTGTTCAAAATCAAAATTTTAATTTAGCCACCGTCCAGAAGCATACATGAATATACCTGACCAACTTCATACCCACCGAACAAAACACAATATCAGAAAGGACATCAACAACAAATCATGGTGCTCTATTTAGAAAAATAGAAGTAGAGAAAAAGAGCAAAAGAATAAAAAAATTTGTTTCTTTCTTAGTGCTAATTTTTGTTTATTTTTAGTTTCAAAAAAAAAAAAAAAAAAAAAAAAAAAAAAAAAAAAAGAAAAAAAAAAAAAAAATTTTTTTTTTTATTAGTGCTAATTTTTGTTTTTTTTTATTTTAAAAAAAAAAAAAAAAAAAGAAGAGAAGAAGAAGAAAATTATTCCATGGTACCTTATTATTATATTGTTGTTGCTGTTCAAATCCAACTACACCCTCGATGTCAAGGCTTATACTGTACTTTAATACTGCACTTCGAAAGTTTAAATCTCATTTATAACATTTGAATGGGCTATATTAAGTTCAGTTCCAAAACCATGGACCAACTTGCTAAAATTATTTTAGCCGATCACTATCAACTAGTGCTGGACTGTTATTTTCAAAAAAAATTTCCGCCATCATTATTTTAATCTTTCTATCATACCATACCCTGATTGGAGGACTATGATTATGTTAAAAATCTACTAATTCTATTAATATGACCATAATAAGTGTTGTGTGCTTTAAGGTAAATCAGAAGTATTTGAAATTTCTTTCTAAGCCATATCTACTCTCATACGTATATTACATTCCTCTTGTCAGATAACAGTATAAGTCCTCATTGTACACTTGTATGCCTCCATACAAGTCTGTAGTGCAATAATAAACTTTACTGCCCATAACAATATAAACATGGTGCCTCAGCTCTGAAGGTCACATATGAAACCTTAACAACATAGAATAACAATTATAATTCTCGAAGTACCATGTGACTTGTTATGGCGAATTTGTTCTCTATCAAGCATCTGCACGATCACTTTGATATATCACGTCAATGATATGAAACTTATCTCTCCAGTAAATCATGTACTGGGCTTGTCAAATTACTATAGCCTCACTATAATCCTAAGAATGAGAACTTTCAAGATCAAGCACTAAGAAATGCACCTTTAATAATCTTAAGAATGACCTTCATTCACTTAATTTCATGGGTTCATTCGTGTTGACAAAATAAAATATGAACTTGAATGTCTTGCCAATCATCAAGTTTTTGATGACCATACAAAATATGTCTTAAACTAATGCCACTTGATTTTTCTAAGGGCATGCAACTAAAAGTTGAATGGCATTCTTACTAGTCCGTATCTCTAGGAGAGATTTGATAGAAGACACCCTTCATTTTTAATTCTAATTTCTGCCCGCTTGTCTACCTGTTCCCAATATTACAACCCTGCGACAACTTAATACATCAATAACAGCTGGTTGGTTGGTCCAGAACTTTTTCCTTCAATTCCTTTTCTTTTAACCTTCTTTTGATGTTGAGTCCAACAATTTTATTCTTGTTTAGTTCATGTTTAAGTGATGTTCTGTAGCTGCTTTTTAAGTTCTTACGAATTTTGTGATTTTGTATTTCAATATATCACGATGAAACAAATTCAGCACATGGACGAACCTTGGGTTAACTAAAGATATTGAAGTAGCCTAACGTTTTGAAAACTGAATTGTGGTAGTAATTTAAATGTCTTTTATGTGCAGGATAATCAAGGTTCTTGTTGTGCAGATTCTGCTGCGGAGGTTCTCTCTTTCTACTGTACATTATGTTCCTTAACTGAAAGTAAATAAGCTCATTTTGTTTCGAGTTACAGTTGATATATATGCTGGAGAACTACCTTCTTTATAATGAAAATCTGAACTCAAATTTGGCACTGTAAGCTTTGGACAAAATGGATACAAGGGCATTGGTTTTGATATCATGTGAATGGTGGGGAATTGATTACTTGTGTTTTTAATTGGCTTTAAAGAGCGGGAGAGGATGTTTCCCTTTATATATAGTACCTGCTAGTATTTTGCTTATCGTTCTTTCATTTGTACTAGTTACCCCTTCATCTGTATCTTCTGCGTGATCTTCACAAAAAGCTGGGGTTCTCAACTCCTCCGAGGAAACAAAATATAGAACGTTCAGATGTTCCAGGTGGATTCATAGGAATGGAAGTACCTGAATTCTTAAGCAAGATTCGGCCTCTGTTTCCATCTCTTAGAAGGCATCTTGATCGTGCAGTACACATTCTTACTAAAGGTACTTGAACACAGTTTGTTGCGTAAGCTGCACAACTAGTACTTCCTATTTGTCTATATCTAACAGAAAAAACTGCAGGTCCAGAAACTTGTCAAGATCACTGGAAAACTCAGTCTAACCTGGCTGCGATTCCAGAAATGACCCACATTGTCATTTCTACATCACCAGCTTTAGCTTCAATTTCAGTTTTCAAAGAGATACTTCGAAGCTTTGGCAAGGTAACCCTTCATTTCACATTGTCCATTTTTTTAACCTATGCAATTATTTAATGAAATTCTTAGATCACGTCTTCTCCACCCCCTCTGCTCTTCATTCTGGATAGAATCTCTAGTTCAGAAATGTGGCTCATTGTTTCTTTCTCCCATTTCTTTCGTAAGTGCAGATGCTAAATCTGCCAGATATTCAAAAGGAAAAATCAATCCTCTCAGATCTTCTTTTGGCTTTCCAGCCAAAGGAAATACCGAATTGTTTTTTAAATGGAATGCACCCAATACCTTCACCAGGAAATATAGACTATCTGTATTCTGGTGCTTATGCTTTCCTACAAGGGGTCTTTGATGTCGGTATGTTTGTTTATACTTCATCAATACCTTAGTTTTGATATGCTAACCAAAAACAAAAATTGTAAGATTTTACTGCTAGAGTATCTTTTTCTTGGCAGCAATTACCTTCTCATTTATACTGGCGTCAGAAGTGGTGCTGACATTAGAGTCGATGGTTACATCCATCCGAAGGTTTCTTGAATCTCTAAATGGGAATGGAAAGAATCACACAGGAGCTATTAAGGAACTTCTTCCTTTTTTGAGAAACAAACTGGGGACTTGTGCTCAGAAACTCTTGATGCATAAATGTGATAGAGATGATATTGACGATAATTTGAAAGCTAAAGTGAGTTTATTTTCTTATTCTTTCAAATGTTAATAAGAATTTTTGTTGGAAATGCGAAATGGGTACATTAGTACAATACTTTGAGTGGCTTAAAGAAATAATTAGCAATTCTTTCCTTATTGATGCAGGGGGAAATGGTCCAGAGGGTGCTTCGCATTTACTTAGAAAATTTCCAGTCGACTTCTGATTTGATAAATGAGCTTGTTAGCTCTGTTTTATCTGAGGTGTGTCATTGTTTTTAATTCTGTTTCATTCCTGCTTCTTATTTTTCACTTTATTTGGGATTCTATGATACGTGTCAAAAACAATTCCCATTATATTATAACCTTTTTAATAAGCTGTGGAACTCCCAAGATATTATTAAATTCAAATGGCTATGCTGGGCCCAAACTTGGTGACATTTTGTTCTGTGTCAGGTATCATCAGACAGAAATGCAGTAGAGGATGATAATCATATTTTTCCTACCCTATGTCCTGCGACATTGGTCATCTGGTACCGCGTGATGGTTAGCTAGCTACCACCACTGCTTTTATGTCTTAGGAAGTCATATTAGTTGACATATCTATTGACAGAGGATGATTTATTGTGCAGCATGAAGAGAACCTCGCTACACTTAACAATTTGGTAAAGCAGCTGTTCATGTTGTGTTTTCCATCAGTGATCAAGAATGAGCTTGATGACTTATTTTGGCTAGAATTTACAGTTTTTCATTGTTTTATTTTCATGCTTAGGTTAAGGAAATTGCTGTTCTAAAGAAACCAAGAGCTGAAATTGAAGTGGAAAATGTTGAAAGACTCCTTAACAAATTACAGCAGTCTGTAAATGTGGTGGTGTCTCTAGTTAGCATGTGCAGGACCAATGAAAAGGTAGTTCTCTCAAATTCTCAGCGAATATGTCTTTATTGTCTAATGCAAATGGACTGTTGACATTTAAGAATGGTGAGTTAGGTGACCGTGCATGCAATGGCAGTCAAGTATGGCGGAAAGTTCATTGATTCCTTTCTCAAAGGTACTTATTACTCTGATGATATAGTCCCTGATTTTCCCCACACTGGTTGGTTAGAATTCAGAACAGTAGATATGCTAAATGGGTTGCTCTACTTAGTGCTAATGGTTTCAGATGGAACTGACATTTGCTAACATGCTATCACGGTGGGATTTAGAGTTGTTAGGCCAATTCTCTGCTACTTCCTTACATTTGTCACCATTTATATCTGTATGTCTTTGTCTTTCTTTTGTCCGTTAGTCCTGCTAGCCTGGATCATGCTACAGGGAGGGTATTATGAGCTTGCATCATACATTAGTAATTCCTATACAGGAGTCATCAATAAACAAAATGGCCACATTCCTAATGTCAATGATCTTCAAACTGGAAGCTCCAGCACTTGCTGTAGGTAAATTACAATTTTCTTGTGTCGCTAAAATTTAATATTTTCTCCAGTTTTTTATTTCCTACAGGCCCAGTTTCAAACACACAGGGAACCCATAATCCAACTGGTGAGACATTTGAATAGGTTACACATAGCAGGCTTGAGATTTTATGGCCAATATTTACCTCCTTTGCACATTGTCTCAGGTTAAAGAGCTTCAAAAAGCAACAAGAACTATACAGACGCTATGTTCTGAAGCAAAGGTTTGCTCTGTGACTCCAATTCTCGTTATAAAAAATCATTTACTTCTTTACGTGGTATATTCAGGCATTCCCCTTACGTATAACAAACTGCTTTATGAAAGGGCTCAAAACAAACGGCTATCACGAGTAAAATCCCTGCGACAAAGAGGTCTATGGAACGGTTTTTATTTCATGTCAAGGCTCTTCTTTACTCAACTTCAAGTGGATGTACTTTCTGGATAGGTAAGCGTTGATAAATTATGCAAACACTTTATGGGGCCCAGATTATGCTCTCCATAGAACTATTGGCCTTTATATTGTGATTGAAACACATCTATATTGGAGTTCCATCTATATAATTTGATCATTTGAATTTGCCAGGAAATCTAAAGCACAAAGACCTGATGGGTCATGTGGTTAGCTCTCAAGCATATGTGGACGAACATATAGCTAATGCAGATGAAAATCCTGCAGAAACTACCGCCAAGGATCAACCAACTAATATAGCTAGCCAATGATGATAAAATTAGTCTATTAGAAAATGTGCTTCACATTTGTTGAAAGCATTTCTTACATGCTGTCGAGTACAGGGCTTTTTTCTATGTGGAAGCAAAACAGCAAGCTTACGCAGCAACTTTTTTATGTTCATGGAATTGAATGGTAGTTGACAATGTGTTGTAGCTGATGTCAAATTCTTAAGGAAATTTCAGACATCGATCTAATTAAGATCTCGTAGTTGAATTGTGGCAAGCAGAAGGTTGAACGTAAATCTGCTTTGGCTTTTCAAGGAAATGAAGATCTCTTTGCCAGCTTGTCTTCTATATAGTCCTTGTGAATGTGAGAGACCATAGATGCATCAATTAATTTGCAAGTACAAACTTTAAAAAAAAAAAACAGAATTGGTATAGGAAGACAGTTGTTTTGAACAAAATTCGTAGACAAAATCTGTACTTAAAACATTGCTCTAGATGCATACAGGCTCTCTAAGTTAATCCTGGAGTAATATGTATAGATAGTGTGTAGTGCATTTGTATAGAACTAGCTCTCTTTCCTTTTTCTCTCTTTTTTTATGCATTAATAGTTGACTGCCAAACTGTTTTAACATTCCCTCTGCTGGAGATATTTGATATGGGCATAGGTACGTTATATGTGGTTTTTGGTGTGGTGGATTGAACTAATATACAATAGTAAAAAATGATCGATACTCAAGTTAAAGCAATTGACACTTAATGTTTGCTGCTGTATTGATTTGAGCTTAATTTGACTTAAAACATGACTCAAAACCATTTCGTTCTTGGAAAAATTCACAAAAAATGCACAGTAGATAGGATATATTTATCATTTGCATATCATGTTTTGAAAATTTATATTTTTACAAACTACTAGTCTTTGCCTCTACAATGCATTGGATTGATTTTTTTAAAGGTAATGTTAGTGCGCTAAGTGTGTTGGTATGCGCTAAGTGTGTTGGTACCAACCTATTCAAAAGACCTAGGTTGACTTCATTTCAGTGAATATATGAATTTGGAAAAAAAACCCCCTTGTCCAGGGTTGGAGACAGGGCTCCTTTCGGGCCACATGGCGCACCTGTCCCCCACCCTGGACGTGAAGAAGGGTTGATGAATTAGTCTAATCATAAATTAACATATCTTTTTCTATTAAGAGTCTTGAAAACTCTAATATATGAACTTTATGAGCGGATTAAAGAATGATTTGTATAACGTTGTGTAGTTTGTGTTTCAGAAGGCAAAAGTATGTGAAAATGGCTGTATACCTTTTCATTAATTAAACATTGGTCTAGGTGTATGACAAATATAAAACTAAATCTGCACAAAGATCACTCTTATTGTAGGATCACTCTTATCGTAGAAAGACGTACAGATTTGATTGTAGATAATAGAACACTAAAGTACATAAATATGTGAATTACTTCTACTAAAGCAGCAACCATTGTATCCCTAGTAGGAGCATTTTCATCATCAATGCCACGCAGATGCCTCATCTCAACGTCCATGCAGTTTCAATCAATACAGTAAACTCATCCTATAAACCATTACAGAATTCTTTCATAGTTCGTCAAAATAATACCCCAATTAAGAGGTAATACATAATGATATACAGTAAAATGATAGTGCCTGAAACACTTAAATTTCACTCCCTAAAAATACCTCATTAAAGAACAAATCTCTGTTTTTCTTAAGAAGCTCCAAAATCTGGATGAAAAACTTTGATTAGTGAATTCCAACATAAACCATAGGCAAAAAATACGAGAAATCAAAATGTAGCAATAGCTAATTATTACAATTAAGGAACCCACCAAATCTCTCAAACAAACGAGGATGAAATTCATTTACCTTCTCCTTTCGAGTGACATTCTTCTCATTCGTCTCCTCGATGGCTTGTTGGTGGCAAGCCTTGTTCTTTGAAGGACAAATGATTAAGGATTTTAGGGTCCTTCTCTATCTTAGGCTTCCTTTGCCTTCTTTTTTTGGTGCTCCCCATTTTCTAAATGAAATATAACTAATTCTATCATAACATATGCAAGATAGGCCTATAGCAGCTACAATGCATAATAGATAACACAAAAGAAAATTTAGATACGGGAGTCTTTCACTTTATCTTACAGGAGTCTCCCAAGAAAGATACAGTATTGCCCAGGTGCTTTTATAGATAGGACAACTCCCTCTTCATCGGCTCCAGATGGCATAAATCGACAACTATTGCTGCCCACAAGCTGCAACAGATAGAACTGTAGTTGGTTGTGATCAGATTGTAGTATATGTTAACTAATTTTCACAATTGTGAAAAGACAAAATTACTATGTTACTATCGCATCACCAAGTTACTTTACTGCTCAACGAATTTTAGTATATTACACTTCAATCAGGAAAGCGAAGAGATATTCATCCGTTGTGTATTGCTGTGCATACTAAATAAAAGCATATAAATGAGAAGAACATAATCCAGCTAACCTAGTCAAATTCAACAATAATAAACCAAGATAGTCAAAAAAATTTCAAAACAAATCTGAGTGAACATTACAAAAAAATTGGCACCTGTAACTGTGAGAGGGCGGACAGAAACTCGTCAAAAGAAGAGGTGGAGGGTCAGATATCAGCAACAGCAGCAAAATCCTTATGTCCTTTGGGAAGCATAATGAAAATTATCAAAAAACCACAACTTTGATTGAACAAAGCAGCATGAGTTTCTACTATGATTTGACAAACACTTGATGCCACTACAATTTTGCGATGGCTATAGTAATTGATGAACTTCAATTCGATTTGGAGTCATTTTGAAGGGAACAATGACAATAATTCAGTCATACACTGATAATCAGGTAATTACGAATTAAAGAGTATAGTAAAAATTAAGTCACAATGGCACCAAGTACTAAAATCAGATAAAAAACATTGATTTGGATGAGGATTAATGTAGGACTTATGTAGAAATCACTCTAATCAGTTTAAACTCATAAACATTACTCATTATGTTATTTTCATAGGCTTTCTGATGCTTCACACCGGGACGTGAGGACATCTTGAGTGCAATGAAACATAGCGCCAACAACATTAATTGAGGTGCAATCAAGGTTGTCTCTTGAGCTACCTCAGATCAATAGCATTGCCCTTCGCATGACAATCATAATGCTTCTGATTTTAATCTCGTTCTGAACGTTGGGAGTAGAGGAATCACTGCTGAAAATGTTAATGTTGTTGGGAAAATTTACACCGATTACGTGCATATTATATTCACAAAAGCATATCGGTTATTTGCGTGAAATCGAAACGTAATTTCGATTTATCGAAATAGGATTTGAGAAGCAAAACATAAAAGTTACCAAATCTTAATGCATCGATATCGATTCATCCCTTTCAATTTTTGAAAGAAAGCAAATTATTCTTTTGATCAAACCTTGCAACATAAACATGTAAACAATGTTAATCATTTCCCGAAATCAAAATATAATCAAAAGAAATCAGAAAACTGTAGGAAGAAAGATGCAAGTGATGAATTTTTGGTCGAGGCAAGTGTTTGACACTTGGTCCTTAAGATGAATTTGCCCTGCATCGGTGCTAACGGTTTTTCGACGATTATCTCCCAAGATACAACGACCACGTCAAGCCATAGGAGCACTCCAAATGATTTCGACCAGCAAACTCGAACGAAATTCCCTCTCTACCAATGAAATGCATGAAAATGCTATGGAATTAGAAATGAGAGAATTGTAAGAGGAGAATGAATGTTCAATACAATTGGTGTGCCCAAAATCATGTCTATAGGGTCCTATTTATAGATGTAGAAATTGTGCAAATAAAGTAGTGTGGGCAAAAATATGTATCATTTCGAAAAGTTGCAACACTTAGCCAAAACCTGCATCCTTTCGAAAAGTTGTAACATTTCATTCTTTCAACTTTGGATCGCAATTTCTCATTCATCTGAAATTGGTTTCGAGATTCCAAATATACCATGACGATCTACTCGACGAGTAGAATAAGTTGGTCTATTTACTTTTGTAATTTGACTATCGGATCAAGTTCGAATATTTGGTCGAAGTTGACACGTAGTCAACCTTTTCATTTTTCACTTTTACACATCTTTTCATTTTCCAATTTTTGGTTAATTATTTGAACCAATTCCTACAAATGTAACTTTCACAAAGGCACCTGCAGGACTATTGAACATAAGACAGGAAACTTGGTAGTTATCTCAGTTACAAAAAGTGCAAAACAACAAGTTTTATATCGGGGCTTGACAGGCAATATGAAGTATCTTTATAATAGACAATCAAATAATATCAGAAACAAAATATGGATGTCCATGGCGCTAATGCTGCAATGCCAGGGGAAATTTTCATAGGCTTCTTACAGGCCTCTGACAGACTGGTGGGTCCCACCTCATTAAAAAAATATCCAAAAAACATGGGATCCACATGTTTGTGAGAGACCTGTATTCTCCCCGTGAAATTTTCCCCTGGCATTGTAGCATCTCTCTGTCCATGGTACTCGTAAGGACTTTGCAAGTAGAATTCTGTATTAGGAAATTATTACATGCATTCAAGATAATTTTGTTGTACATAGTTTTACTGCTTGAAGTCCTTGTATTCTATACAGTAGCACATTATTCTATAATTAATGATGTCATAATGTTCAGCTACAGGGGCACCAATTGATTATTTTTATCAGAAGATTGACTTTCCTGTTACATTTTTTGGTTGTCTTTTATGAGCAGATATTTTAATAAAAACTCGTCTGGTTTTATTTTTCATTTCTGAAAGTAAACAAGTTTTGAAGAAATTTTGTGTTATGGGCCTAATGTATTACATGGTAGCTTTGCATACTACATCTGTAGGCCATCTCTGAAAAGCCTTTATACTTCTACAACTGAAAGTCTGAAACCAAAACATCCTATTTGATGATATTAGCTTTTATATGTTAGATAAGGTAGCTGGATCTCTTGAGAAGATTATCTTCGTTTCATATCTTTGTCCGTGTGTTATTCGTACTAATTGTTAAATTAGTTGCATGGTAATGAATGTAGGCAATTTGGTGTAATTGATAAAAAGTGCTCTAAAAATATTTGATATTCCTATCATTCAGAGCCATTCCAATATTTGTAGGCTGATTGAACTCAATCTCGCCTTTTCCTTCCTAGGTATATTGAGCGAAATGTTCATCCTAACATCGTTCGCTTACTAAACGTGATCGAGGTCGTATTTCTGTTACTTTCTATTTTTTGTTAATTTTTTCTTTTGCATAAAGATAAAGTCTGCGATTATTAGATATTACTCATAATGTGTTGTATGCCTTTATTGGAATGTGAAACTTCATGTCTTGTGCATTTGCTATTGGTTTACGAGTGTCCATCTTTCCCCCTTTTTTTAACAATGTTTGTGACTTTGGGAAATAGTGTAAGCTTGAAGTTAAAAATTTAGTCTGTTTCAAGATGAATGGGAGATTAGGAATTGTGAATAGTTATTGGCTATATCAATTTAATACAAGTTCATTTTATTTTATTTTTCCAATTTAGCTTTAGACGCCGCACTGACAAAAAGAATGGGAAAGTAGTAGATAGGAATGAAAGTTAAAACAGTAAACTCGAAATGCTAAAATGCATCGTGAATTATTTTTGTGAAGGACACTCAATCCCGGGAAGGAATTTTTCTCAGATGACCTACAATTGATGATTGTTGTTATCAGTTACACAGTGGTATTTACTATTTAGGCTTTGTAGTTTTTCAAGCTTTTACTAAACGGGTACACACTTTTCTGGGTTTGTGCGTAATTTCATATATGGGAAATTTACAAAAATGTCACGAAAATTGAAAGTTCCAAAAAATTTGTCATTTTCATTTTATATGAGCAAAAATGTCACTTTTTGGGGGTGAAAAGTCCAAATTACCCTTAATGTTTCATTTTAAGTAGCATTTAATGCTTGATTTGAAGGGAAATCATTGATTTGATGTGATGATTTAATTTATATATTCAAAACATGGATAAATGTGTATTCTATTGATTAATATAATTTTTTGTTAATAAAAAAATGTAAAAGAAATTTAAAAATGAAACATAAACAACAAGCCCTAACTTTTCTTCATTTTCATTGATCAAGAAGACAGTTTTGTTGCATTCTTCATCCATTTTGAGAGGTTAGCAATCACTACTAAAAAATATGGCTTCAATCACGAATTTTTCGTTCCTAAAACCTTGATATCCGTTGCTATTACTCTTTGCCAACGGAATATTTGTAACCACAAATCCGTTGTTAATTTGAGGGTCGCTAATAGTTACCTACGGATTGTGCTGTAGGTAAAGAGTAAATATTTTACTAACGGAAATTTCGATGGTAATGTGTGAATTTTTTACCAACGAAATTTTCATTGGTAAAAATCTTAACCAATACCAACCGACTTTCCTTTGGTAAATGTCTATTATTACAATTGGTAAAAATCAATGTTGTAAATAATCGTATAGGTGTGAGGCATGGTAAAAAAAAATAAAATTATTTACTTATTTTTTTATTATTGTTATTATTATTTATTTAATAATTATAATTTTTTAAAAACTTTTAAACAATTGAATTGAAAAGCCAAACTATTGTTTAATCATTTATTGAACCACAAATTTATAGAGGACAACTCCAAAGACTTTGTTGTAAACTTCCGATGTGGGATAATTGAATTGATTTTATCAACGGATAATCCGTTTTTAATTACCAACGGAATATCCGTAGGTTAAAGATTCGAATGTTAGTTGGTCATATTAGGCACAGAATATCCGTTGGTAAAGAGATATTATCATTACCAATGGAAAGTCCGTTGCTGATTATCGTAGTTGAAAGTGAATTACTTTTACTAACGGATAATCCGTTTCTAATTATCAATGGATTGTTTCTGTTGGTAATATTTGGTACGTCACGTACGGAATATCCGTAGGTGAAATATTCAAATGTTAAACGGTTACATTAGGCACAGAATATCTGTTGGTAAAAGGATATCATTGTTTCCAACGAAAAATCCGTTGCTGATTATCATAGTTGAAAGTGAATTACTTTTACCAACGAATAATCCGTTTCTAATTATGCATCCGTTGGTAATTTTTCGTAAGTGAAAAACTGTTTTTTAGTAGTGAATTACAAATTATTTATACTTTACTCTTATAACTTTTTGTTTTGTAAATGTTAAATACGACATGGGCATATTTATTTGAAAATTTTGAAACTATTATGCATTGATTTGTTTGGTTTTGGAGTCCTTTACAAAATGTCATTATCACCATTAATGTTTGGAATAATTTCTTCTATTCAAACTAAACACTATTTCCATTAAATGTCTCATTAACCTTTTCATTTTGTCATTTGATAGCTTAATAATAAAGACCACACTTAATGTGTTTTGCTGAAGAAGCCTAAATTCTACCCATTGCCGTCTGCTTCCCGACATTTTCAACAATTCAATTGTCGAATTTGACATTTACAAACCTTTATGTTAGACATTTGAAATGTCGAACTCGACATTTACAAACTGTCAGGATACACAGTTCTGCCGTCAATTTTGACCTTTTGCTATTGTACGGATTTACGTATTATGCAGTGCCACTTTCATTCTATTAAATGTCAACATATTGATTCTGAATTCTTATTGTTGCAATTCCAACATTTCATGTATGAGTAATCATTTGAGATTCATCGTGTCGCATGGGGGAAAGTTTGTTCATGCGGATGACGAATGGAATACTGGAGGGGTGCCTATATGGAAGCAATGTCTCCCGTTATGCGGGAAGTGGATCGGGTTGTTCCAAACGAAATAACGGGTAC